AACTTGAAATAATTTTCTTGATAGTATGCCTGGAATACTGGATTTTCATGCCATATAATCCCAGAACAGGTAAAAATTTAAAACTTTACATAATGTACTTCTGCAATGTCTTTATATCAAATAAAGTCTACTTCATATATACTGTAATAGCCTTGGATTATTTTGCAAGATAGGGATTGTGAGAGTTTGCAAAGTAAATAATTGTGACACAAAAATACTGTACGTATACATAATTCAATTCCGTATTGCATAAAATAAGGAGTTAAGGACCAGAGGCCCAAGAAATTCACCTAGCAATGCAAGAAATGTACAGCGTTCTGGCAGACCATGGAAAAATAGAGAGAAATGTACTGAAATGAAGAAAATTGAAGGGGAAAAAAAATCCGTCTGCTGTCTCGGACCAACCCAACGTCCCACAGATTCCACACATGACTCACTCAGTCTGCTTACATCAATACACCTACAAAAATTAATCAAAAGTTTTCTAGCACACTTGTATAAGAAAAGAAAGATTATTTGTCTGTTTCCTGGACACCTACAGTACATGAATCAAAATTATCTTTATGGGTTTCTTGCACCCTCCACCATTTTGTCAATTATCCCCTCACTTTTTCTGCCATAACTGTGTCAGCTAATGCAGTCTTCCCAATGACCGGTATGAAGTATAGCTTAGCACATTTAATGAACTGTCAAATGAGCCTTGGCTTGCTGTCACTAGTTTGCTTCCCATCTCTCTAGCAACCGAGCTTGGATTTCGTTGCCTCAGAGGCTCATCCTGAATCACAAGACCCCTCACTGCAACTTTACATTGTTGCATGTTCGCTATCCAATTCTTCAAAGTATCCTCCATTTCTTGGTACAGTGGCAGCCTTAAATACTGGATGATCTCAGATATGAATGGCCATGCACATGCTGCATGAATCTTGTCAGTCTTTAGTTTGATGCTGCAGATCATGCTTTCATTTATCCTGTTTCAGTGTGCCACAATTGACACATTCCACAGGCAAGTTCATAAAATTTTTTAACTTTCTCTTCTTTTTCTTCCTTGAACAGGAAGGAGCAACAGCTACTGAACATTTACACTCCTTGGTTAGTGGTGCACTTCATAAACTCGAAGGGAATTGTGAGAGTAAGAACAAATGTCCTTGTGTTTGAGTGAATAATGGCTGAGTGACACCATGACTGCAGCTAGGTAAGTGTGCATGCATGGTAGCTTTATTGGCATGGCGGTTAATTAAAAATGTTTCAAGCTTGGTTTTTCACATGTAATACTGTACAGTATAGGAAAATTTTAGTAATTTAGGTAGTCACAAAATGAAAAAAAGTGGAGCAAAAAATGGCAAAATACCCCAGGGCTACAGTATACAATACTGTATTGATTACAGGTACAGGGTATTTAGTAAAATCCATGTGTAGTATGTCTTAAACAGAGCTATTGTCTATATGATATTTTTTAAATAGTTAGGGTTATTTAATTCAAACACTCATGACCACTTGCATTTCTTGTACTCCTTACAAAAGGTTCAGAATATTTCCCTCATTAAAAAATCTTACTTTAGCATTAAAATATTCAGTTACCACACGTATGAGAAAAAACAAAACAATCCCATTCATTGTTCTTTTCTTGTTTTTATAATTTCTTTCTTTGATGCATAAACCACTATTATTTGGATGAAAAATTGGATTATACTTGAATTTCATCAAGACAACCTTGACGTTTGTTGGCAATTCAGTAAAACTTTTTGACTCATGATGATGGTCAACACCTTTCTTTATTTTTGCTCCAGGGTAGTACTAAATTCTTCACCACTATTTAATCATAAGCTCATCAGTCCCTTTCCATAATATTCTGCTATTTCTACAATCATTAACTGGTATGTTAACTTTGTATTATACAAAACAAGTTATATGAGTTTGGTAAGACAAATGATCTTACATTCCTTTTAACTACTGTATTATGAACATTTCTTAACTCGACTGGCATGTTGTTTTATGTCAGGTGAGGGTTCCCAATATTGAAAGATATATAGTATAGTCTGGATTTACGAGGTTTTGGTTAACGCGTTTGGTCATTTACGCAGTGCCTTGCCAGAATTGAAATGCTTTAATTACCCGGTAAATTTGGTCATTTACACGGCAAGTCGCTGGAGGGTCCAGACGCTCCACGCTATTTTTCATTCAAGTGGTCCATTCTCGACCATACGCGGGAAGCGACCTAATGCGCACTACGTCACTGTTGCGTTATCTCTGACGTCATATGACGCATCAGACTGTGATTGGGCCACGCATCCTTACCTCCCTCCCCAGCTAGCTGCAATTGGTTTAATGTAATATGACGTACCCTGCCACCACAGAGAAGGAGCCGCTACCCGCGTCGGTCGCCCTGTTCCCAGTCACCCCGTGTATACTGTGTTCTATTGTTCCAGCTAATCTCGAAAGAATGGCATCCGCTGGACCCACACCACCACAGAAAAACCTTGCATTACCTGGACCCAGCCGCTCCAAGCCAAAGAAGATACGACGTGCCCTAAGTTACGAAGTTAAGTACAAGATCGTACAAGAGTTAGAAAAACGAACGAGGCAAGTTGATTTGGCACGCCAGCATGGCATGAACGAATCTACGATCCGGACGATCAAGAAGGATGCCGCCAAGATAAAAGAACACATGAGCATCGCAAAGTCTGCAGGTGCTTCAATAGTGAAGTACAAGGTGCTGCTCAAGACTGAGAATTTGCTGGTGAGCTACTTGATTCGTCAGACAAGACGGAACATGGCGGTGGACACGCGATCAGTTCAGGACTACGCACGTGAACTGTACGTAGCAGTGGCACGTAAGATGGGAATTGCAGAGCCCAAACCCTTCACTGCTTCCTCTGGGTGGCTGCAAGGGTTTAAGAAGAGGAACATGATCACCAACATTAACATTGTTGGTGAAGGAGCGAGTGCTGACCGTGTTGCGGCGAGTGATTTTCCTCCATTCTTACGTGACATTATGGAGGAAGGACAGTACACCAACGACCAGGTGTTCAACATGGATGAATCCGGTCTGTTTTGGAAAAAGCTACCCTACTAAGACCTTCGTTGTCAAGTCTGCCAGCAAGTGTCGGGGCCGGAAATTGCAGGAGGAGTGCATCACCGTTTTGTTTACCACCAATGCCTCCGGTACCTGTAAGCTCAAGTTATCGGTGATCCACACAGCCCGCAAGCCGCACGCTTACAAGAACATGGACATGACCAAGCTAAATGTCCACTGGCTAACCGCACGTAAGGCGTGGATGTTCACTGCTCTGTCCCTCTCCTGGTTTGACGACTGTTTCGTTCCCGACGTCAAGAAATTCTGCGAGCAACAGAATGTTCTATTCAACATTTTGTTGCTCCTTGACAATGCACCAGGACACTCACCCCTACTGTTGGATCGTCACCCCAACTTAAAAGTGGTCTTCCTTCCTCCCAACACTATGTCGTTAATCCAGCCCATGGACAAGGAGTTGATATGCAACGTTAAGGCTGCATTCTCTGCAAAGAAGTTTAAGCTCCTGAACGACTGTACCAACACCAAGGATGAGTTGCGTAACCTGGGTGACACTGACGAGGACGAGGAAGAAGAGTTGGCGGAGCAAGAAGTTCGCGTCAAACAGTTTTGGAAGAAATTCAATGTCAAGAAAGCTGTTGATTTCTTGGTGGAGGCATGGGAGCAGCTGTTTGTGGCAAAGATTTGTCATGCGTGGCAGCATGTGTTGCAAGGTATCCCAGGTGGGAGGCAGAGTCAACCTGTGACTGGTGAGGTTCAGTCTGTTGCAGTGGCAGTGGACCTTGCAAGAGAAGCTGCACAGAGTGTTACAGCTGCAGGCTTCTCCGAGACCACCAACGAAGACATTATGGAGGTGATCAGGGATCCTGAGGTGACTGCCGACGAGATGTTGGAAGACGATGACTTCAGTGAAGATGTTAGTGGTGCGTCAGCCCGAGAAGAACACAAGTTAACACATGGTAATGTTAAGGCTGCCATCGAGTTTGCAGAGAAACTCAAGCTCGTCCTTTCCAACAACCCTGATGATCACTGCTATGAAGTCTTCAATAACCAGCTGTTGCAGACTATGGAGCTGTACATCAAGATGTATCACGAACACATCAACACTAGCCGTCAGAGTAACACCACGGACTTCTTTGCCCGCAACCCACCACAGACAGCCCAAGCCAGTGATAGTGACAGTGATGTTTGTATGTATATTATGTATGTTGTATGTATACCATGTATGTACTCTATATATACACATTATTTCTCTAGTCAGTAGCGTGTGGCAATGCCCGTTTCATGTCACCACACGCTTCGATAAATGTGCCTGGCGACATCTGGAAGCTGCTAGTATACCACTTACCACATGTCGCCTGAGAGGTCAGAGTGAGGTCAGTTGGCCCATATAGGAGTGTAGAGACTACCTGCGCTTGTAAGCGCACTCCTGTATATTTCTGTTAATAAGAACCTTCAGAACTCTACAGGTGTTTATGTTCGCCCCTGTAGTTAGAACCAAGTACCCCGAACATCTCCAATGTTGACTTTGAGGGATTTGTCAGGAAGGCCCTCACAACTATGGTGGATAGTGATGGTGATTCACCTGAGGGCCAGTAATCTGCCCTCTGCCTCGGAACCAGCTGCCATTCCCATAGGCCGACCCATCTCTTCTACTAACGTAAGTGTTAAACCTTTTTTTTTCTTTTACCTGGTACAGTATATTATCCTCTTATTGATATTTATCTTCTATATTATGTGTGTGTGCATACTATCATAAAGTTAAGATACTATTTTTACTACAACGTACGTATTGTGTCGGAAAAAGTTGAGTTTGGGGGTCGGCCCAGTCTCTATTTCAATTAATTCCATATGTTCTGTTATTTCATTTACACGTTTCTCGTTTTACGCGGACCTCCACGGGTTCAATTGACCGCGTAAATGCAGACTATACTGTAATAATTAATGGCAGGCGAATAAAATTATGCAATAAATTTGAAAAATATTTATCAAAACATCAAAATTCTATTGTTTTACACAAAGCTAATCTTTTATATAGAATGCACATTAAATATCCATGGTAATTTTAGTTTAAAATTACAGGTTAATTTTTCTCAAGTGAATACATCCAATCTTAGTTTCCCTTCATTCTCTACCAAGTAAGTCATGTCTGCTAGTGTCCGCTCCACCATGGATTCTTCACACCTTTCATGCATCTGTGGAGAACACAAACAGGATATAAATGAACAACTTTCAGGCCAAGAACAGTATAGAATGTTTTGAAATAGTACATACATATTTCATTCTGTTTTACCACATTTTTACACAACCAGATAAACAGTAATGGACTCTCCACCTGGGACACATGTTGCCTCTTACCTCATGGTTACAGGTTTTTTTTTTATCATACAAGACTTATTTCATACACATGGAGATAATACAAGTGACAATTCCTGTAACTTCCAAGGATAGTCACATTTACCCCTTCACTCCCAGATGGTCTAAAAAATTTTTTATTTCTTTCATTCCCACCAACAGTTTTGTCCATTTGGGGCAAATGCATTATGTTTGCTGACTCCATTCATAATTGTCACCACTAAAGTGGTGATGAAAGCAAAATGCACACACAAGGCATTATTGATACCTAAATAAAATACACATAGTTATCCAGAAAAAGAATAAACATACAGGTAAACTTATATTTATGAAGTCCCCATCTGCGATATTTTGTGTTAATGATGCTGATATGTTAAAACCACTCCCCTATTTGCAATGTAAACAACCCACATTAACAATATTCATTATCCTTCCAACACGGAATATGGAACGCATCACTCACTTCACTTGTCAGTTGAGGAGTCATATACCCTCATGGCCATCTGGTGAACTACAGTCCAGGCATTGTTTCTTCTTGGTTACATGCGTGTAAGAAATGAAGCTCAATGTTTATTGATCATCATCAGCATTTATATTTTTTTGTGTTTTTTACCTAAGTGACTGTGAAGTGCTTTTCCCTGTTTTAGTGACCGTGAAGTGCTTTCGCTCTGATCCCCCACCCCGACACTAGGTGACCTGACATAGCATCATAAGGTCAGTAATATGAGACTACTAATCCCTCACCCCACCTACATAGCAAATGAAAGAGGAGTTTATACAATGCGTGGACCTGACATTGCATTTGGTCAGGTCAATAACACGAGACCCACTTATCCCTTACCACAACTCCATCACAAGTGTTAAAAGACTTAAAAAGTGATCAGTCACATAAAGTATTACATTCAGGAGAAGATTGGACAGTAAACTCCTACTGGAGGCTCAAGACAATAGTAGTAATAAACATTATTTTGTTTATTTATAATATATTGTATGTGTACAGTGGTGTTTGCGTAAATAAATACAGTAAGTCCTCGTTTAACATTGCCCCCGACAACGTTGTTTCGTTATAATGTCGCTACTCTTTAGATACCCATGATTCGTAGAACGTCCCGCCGGTTCGGTATAACGTCGTCACGGATTACTTTCTACGGCGCATCACCCTCTCTCACCCAGTCAGAGCGGGAGGAGGAGCCACCCTCCGGGTCTCAGTGACTCACCACCCTCCTCCTCTCCACTACCCACCACACACTCGCTCCACCTCCGCCCATCAGTGAGTACAATACAAAATGATTTAGTTTATTTATCTTTTTGGATGTATAATATACAGTATAATATTTTCCATAAAAATTCCATTAAATTTATGTATATATAATGTATATTTATGGAGCAAAGGGAGGCTAAGTAACGTAACTCCCGTATTTTATCTATGTCTTGTAAGGAAAATTTATTCAGTTAATGTTGCGGTTTTTCAGGAACGGAACCACGACGTTAAGCGAGGATTTACTACAGCTTTTGTGTTTGTCCCGGGAAAACTTTCCCCAGTACAGGTAGTTCTGCTATAACGCGATAATTGTGTTCTTGTAAAATATCGTGTTATAGAAAATCACGTAATAGAAATAACAGGGCTTATGGAGAAAATAGGGTTAGGTGCAGATTACTCGAAATCGAAAAAATTTAGTAGTTAGCCTAACACAAAGGATAGCACAGTCTAAATAAATGTTACATTCATATCTAATAATGAAATCATACAGTAAATGTAGCACTTTACTTGATGGGGGAGAAGGGTGATTTTGAGGTTGATAAAATCGAGCTTCTCTTCAAGTGTTATATCCTTTCTTTTACAATCATCACCGGGAATTCTATCACCAGAACGCTTCTTGTTGATATTCTTCTTTACTATATTCACAGTTAATACAGTGGGGTATGCTATAACGAACGGATCCTACTACGAATATTCCTATAACGAACGGTTTTACCTATAAAATTGAGAATGCTATAACGAACGAAACTCCTACAACGAACATTATTTATCTTTTTTTTTTTCTAATTTATTGTTTTTTATTACAAATATTAATGATATTCTTTATTTCAGGGGTTTAGATGCATATTTATGCACTTTTTTACAATTTTTACAATTTTATATTATATTTTTCAGTGTTAAGTGGTTGTATTTGGGGGCCTGGAACGGATTAATCCTATAACGAACGAATGCTATAAGGAACAAGGTTCTAGAACCAATTAGATTCGTTATAGCATACCCCACTGTACCACAAAATTGGAGAAAGAGTAAGCAAAAATCGCGTTATAGCAAACAAGCGTTCGCGTTATACAAATATCGTTCCTAATTCATAAATCGCGTTAGCGCAAATTCGCGTTATCAAAACAAGCGTTATAGCAGAACTCACTGTACAGGGTGGAAAATTCCACTGTCTTGGCTGTGACACAGCTCATTCATGAGGCACCTTTTCAGTTTTTTAAATACAGTATATTTATTTAACCAAACATTTGCATTAATTATTCAGGACTATTTTCGTAAAAAAAAATATATAAATAAAGTTTCTAACTTAATTAGAACTGATTTTATACTCTAGTATCAACATTTATTATTAATTTTTTTTTCATAAAAGAATCGAGTCCCCATCATTATAATGTATTGTCATAATATTTTGTTCAACGCTCTTGGGGTTTTCATAAGCGAAACTGTGTATGATATAAATTATCGCTTTAAGGTTTTCATACACAAATTTGTGTATGAATAAAAAATTAAAAGAAAATAATTTCATGTTTCCATATGAACGATAGATATGCAAGAAGCACACTTGGCAACGTTGGTGCAATCTGGCATCTATGTAGACTAAAGTACTCTCCAAGGTTAGGTTACCACACCTGTCTCCCTTTGTTTTTCAATGATGCAGGACATAACCTTGACCCACATTTCCTACACATTTTCTTGTGGTTTGTGCTGCTTTCTTGTTGATTACAGTGATTTCAATCATTCATAAGTGTTGCAAAGAGTTTTGAACCATGCCACCTGTTGCTGGCAGGGGTGGGTAAAATTAAAATGCGCAAGGAGAGTGCACCATGTGGTGATAGTGTGGTGCCTCCTGATGCTTGCACTTATGTAAGAAATAATTATTTTATCATGATTACTCATCTAATACTTTTTGCAGATAACTTAATTACAATATTAATGCAGCAAATCCCGCCTTTTTATCTCAAATAGCAAGCTTGCTATGACCCATTAATTACAATTATCTCTCATGTGGTGCAGTGAAGTAACAGGCCCAACCCTAATGTCTTAAGGGAGAGCGCCTACCCAAACCCAAGAGTGTGAAATATCTTTTATTGGAAAACTCTTGTAGAGAATTTACTCAGGATCATTATGATGTCAAATTCATCTCGCTAACATAATTAGAACAGATGCTGTAAATAAATGTTTATACACTTTTTGCTCGGGTTAGGAGGTGGAGGATTGAGGGAGATAGGTAGGGAGGGTGAGTACAGTCACTTCACCCCCCCCCCCCTCCACCCCCCAAGGTTCGCCTCCCTCCCTCTCACCCAGTGCATCTCCGACTTCTGCCTCTCTCACCCATTCTACTTACTTTAACTGTCATTCATGATACAATATTGTTTACTTGTTATTCATTAATTAGTATAGAAAAATTACTGTAATAATCTGGGCTTATTAATACCTGTACCTACAACACTATATCTCATAGGTAAAAATAATGTCATCAGGAATGCATCTCCATACTGTATATGCAATGGTACCAAATTCATTTCTCTAACACAATTAGAACAGATGTGTGAATAAAATTTTGTACACATTTTTGCAAGCCATAAATACATTTGCTACTTAGCTTTGTCTTTATTCAAGACATCTTCAGGTCATACGACCCCACTAATCCCAACCCTGACATTGATCAGCTCATGTCAATAACATGCTTTTTCACAGAAGAATTCAGTCCCCATCATTATTGTCATGTTTTTGTGACTGTGAAGTGATCAGTATAACTTTGAAAATGTCTGGCAAGCGGTTTGCTCACATCTTTAAGGCCAGGAAGAAGGCTACACTTAAGTTCCCACTCTTTAGACCCTCCAAAGTCTGTGTGGGACTCAGATTGATGTCTCCACTCAATCTCAAGAGTCCCCTCAGCCTTGAAGAGGACATGTGATGACAACCTGACTTGTTCTTAACACTCTTGGGGTTTTCATACGCAAATTTACGTATGAACTAAAAAACTACAATGAAATAATTCTTTTTAGTTAGAATGCTAGATCTGGCACCTATGTAAACTGCTTCCAAGGTTACGTGATTGAATACACTTGTTGCCCTTTGTGGTTCAACGACACAAGACCTTGATCAACATTTTCCACCATTTACTCATGGCTTGTGCTGATTTCTCGTTCATCATAGTGATTTAAGTTACTGATAACAGTACAGTATTGTGATAGTTTTGAACCATGCCTTGTGTTGCTGGTGAAGGTAGAGGAGTGAGAAAATGTAAAAATTACAAGGAGATTGCAAGACGTGGTGATAGGGTGGTGCCTCCTGAGGCTTCTCCCAGTGTTCCTGGCCCTTTTAGTGCAAGTGATCATTTGTCTGGCCTTTCAACAAGCTGTCCTAGTGTGAAAGGAACTGGCTGGCATGTTGGTATGGCTAAAAGGAAAAATAAAAAAGTGTTGTACATGTGGTACCTCAGCCATTACAACGTGGCTTACCTTGTGAGAGCTCATCTCCTTCACAAGTGCGCACTACCCATACTCCCACTAAAACTAGATTTAGTCGCCTTGTTCAGGCTAAGTAGACACTGTGGGGCACAGAGGAGGTGGGGGGGAGGAGGAACATCACTAAATGCTCCAACATATAACAACATGTAAGTACAGAGGAACAGAAATTAATTTATGTTTGTAGAAAAAATAAAAAATAAAAAAGTAGTACAGTATCTTTATACATTATAATCAACAATAATTTATAATTATTATTTTATAAAAATAAAAAAAATAATAAGCATTTAAAACACATTATGTATAATTTACATAAAAAGAATATTGAAAATTTGAGCGAAGAATATTCCCATTTGGGAGATTGAATGGCAGCGATGCACTACAATTTGTTATACAGTGGGGTATGCTATAACGAATCTAATTGGTTCTAGAACCTTGTTCGTTATAGCATTCGTTCGTTATAGGATTCGTTCATTCCAGGCCCCCAAATACAACCACTTAACACTGAAAAATATAATATAAAATTGTAAAAATTGTAAAAAAGTGCATACATATGCATCTAAACCCCTGAAATAAAGAATATCATTAATACTTGTAATAAAAATAAATAAATTAGGGAAAAAAAAATTTAAATAATGTTCGTTGTAGGAGTTTCGTTCGTTATAGCATTCTCAATTTTATAGGTAAAACCGTTTGTTATAGGAATATTCGTAGTAGGATCCGTTCGTTATAGCATACCCCACTGTACTAGTGCTTATGTTTAGATTTAATATTTTTATTGTGATTACCTATATAAAACTATTTGTAGATATATAGGTTGTACCTCTCTAGTCCGGCATTCTGTGGTCCGGAAACTCCCGTGGTCCGGAACGATTTTAGTTTGTCCAATAGGTAGATAGGCAGCTTTTTTTTTTTTTTTTTTTTACTTATCTGAATTATTATTATTATTACAGGAGTATTAAATTTTTGCCCCTCAGGCCCCAATGTGGGTCAGTGACCTATGCCCGGGTGGGCTAATCCCCTTAAAAAAAAAAGCCGCGGGAAATTAAGGTTTGTTTACATCCGGCAGTTCGGCTGCTCTCTCTCTCTCTGCTTGTCTATACAGAGTACAACATTTAACCCTTCAATATATATGAGCAGTAAATAAGTGTTGCTTTCATATTCTTATGTAGAGTAATGACGATATATTTTCACATGTGCGCACTTACATACGAGCAGTCTCACTTTTTTTTTTACCATTAATGGTTAGCTACTTATATTGTTCCATTTATTAACATTAAATAACATTACAGGTACTTCAAACAACCATATTAATTTTTTTACATTAATTTTACTACAGCTAAATCAGGGTCTTATTTTCTTCAGTTTTATATGTAGAACCAATCAGTCACTGGTTTCGTAAGCTTTAACATAAACAATGCCGGCAGCCGTCTCGTCTCCTCTAATATTCCACGTATTATTAATAAATTGTATTGTTAATTTTGCACACACATACATTAATTCAATAAAAACAAATTCAGAAACATTAATTAAAATATATATGAACAGTAAATAAGTGTTGCTTTCATATTCTTATGTAAAGTAATGACGATATGTTTTCACGTGTGCGCATGCGCACTTACATACGCGATCTCTCTTTTTTCTTTACCATTATCGTTAGCTACTTCTATTGTTCCATTTATTAACATTAAATAACATTACTTAAAACAACCATATTAATTTTACTACAGCTACAACCAAGGTCTTATTTTCTTCAGTTTTATATGTAGAACCAGTCAGTCACTGGTTTTGTAATCAACGAAAACAATGCTGTGTCATTTCCTCGTGTGTTTTAATATTCTACGTATTATTAATGAATTGTATTGCTCATTTTGCACACATAAACATTAATTCAATAAAAAAGACATTCAGTAATAAACAATAATGAATCTTTTGTACATAAGAGAAATGACGCTGTTTACACGATTATGCACGTCGTCTGCACGTTGGCGGGCCGTTCAAACCCGTCGAAATTCAAGTTTCCGCCGTCAAAATTTTTATTTATTATTTTTTTGTGTTCCAATAAAATACGTTAAGAATTAAAAACTCGCGAAATTTGAGAAGCTACTATACGACATTTAACCCTTCAATATGTCTTCAAAGAGACCATGATGCAGAGAAAGTGGTGCTAGTGCTTCCAAGCATAAGCACAAGTCACTATCTATCCAGGAAAAGGGTGAATTTCCATGGTCCGGCAATTTCCATGGTCCGGCACCGGTCAGGTCCCGAGGTTGCCGGACTAGAGAGGTACAACCTGTAATATATTTACAGTGCTAAAGCACTATACCTAACCCTTTTATCTCCAATAGTAAGCTTACTAAGATTCATAATGTACAAGTATCTTTTGCGCTCGGAAGGATAAAATGAATAATATGTACTCGGCTTCAGAGCACAATTTACACCACTATTACCAAGCACAATATTAATTTCTTCACAACCTTTCTTCTACAACTATTTTTTATAAATATGTATACTTTATAATAGGATAAGGTTCATATTGCAATCACATGAAATAACGAAGGTATAAAGTGATGTATAAACATTTTCATAAAGCGTAAATAATTTTTTTTTATATTCTGTTCGCGCTTATGTACAGAATTTTTTTTTATTGTGTACAGTACTCATAAAAACTGTTTGTAGATAATTTATTTCCAATGCTAATGCAGCAAACCCGACCTTTTTATCTCAAAAAGCAAGCTTGCTATGACTCATTTTATACAAATATCTCTCATATGGTGCAGTCAAGTGTGGTGAGGTGAGTTACAGACCAGACCCGAAGCGTCTTGCCGGAAAGCACCTCCTTAAACTCAAGAGTGTTAAGGATGTGGTGGGTGTTGTTCATTTTTTTTTTTTTTTTTAAAGTTCGACTGGCCAAGAACATATCCCATTAAACCCCATGTTATAATGATCCTGATTTACACTATTTCAACCTGCGATGGGGTTTTCAGGAACCCAACCCCATCATTTCGTAAATGGAGGTTTACCTGAACTTGGTATTCTCATCTTGTAAACTTGAGTTTAACTTGATGCATAAGACAGCATGGCTGAATTAAATTATGGCAATGTGTTCCCAATTTTTGGAGAATGTACTCAAGCAGAGCAATCTTAATTCTTTTTATTACTTTAATTTTTAAATTTTAAGTGTTATGCTGTTATCTTTATAAAATGTTGAAAAAATGTAACTTCTTCAAGAAATGCCTTATGAAGTCAGTTCATTCATAATACTCCAAGTGCAGTGAACAATGTGCACTATAATGACTGACGAAGTGAGAGACTTTACAAAATGAACATTAGTGTTCCAACAACAAGACTACAATATACAATACTACTTTGAAAAACAAAGAATTTCATTGACCGTTAACAAAATGAAATTGAATTATATAAAGGCATTGCTGAAAATAATGAAGTAATAAATCACTCAAAAATCAAAATTACACAGATCTGCAGTGCTCTGAAACTTTTAGAAACATTGTAGTACAGTATACTATCAATTTAATGGATCCAATATAATGAATTTTAAATTTAGCAGAAGAAATTTTTTGCTATTTTTCACTCGACTTAGTGAACTAGTTCACTATTTCGAGATTAATTCAGTTATTATGCTCACACCTACGGAGACAGAGACACCTCAGACACATGATATGTACATAGAAACATTATTCATGGCTTACCTTAAACTAGGGGGGTCGGTGTTTTAATATTTTTTCAATAATTTCCAAACTTTTTTCCAACAGATACCCGCACTCTTTTGACTTTCTCCCCCACACAACTTCCTTTCTGAGACTTCTGAGAGACTTTCGGCATGATGTCTAAGCACAGGAGTAAACTGACCGAGATGTAGACCAAGAGGTAGTAGTGAACAACACACGTGGTGGCGGCAGCACACACACTGAGTGGATGTAAACAAACACCTTGCACCAAGAGGCGCATTTGGTGTGGAATTTAACAAAATCACGCTTGATTTAACGAAATAGTTCGCTAAATCGAGCAAAAATAACGGAAATTCGATTTACCGGAAATTTCAATTTAATGGAAAGGGCTGTCCCCAGGTTATGAACGTCTGACTTACCAACATCCGCCGATACCAACGAGGTTAAACTTTAAACTTACAGTATTCAATTTAACTGGACTTATTTTTTACTCTCATTTACTGTATTTTCATTCTATTTCTTCTTTTCTCTTATATGAAGTGATTTTAGATGTATATAAGGACTTAAGCTATGATGTACAGTACTGTAGTGGGATTTTAAATATTGTTCTGTAAGTACAGTATGCACATAGCATGTTTCGACTTACGTACATTTTTTACTTAAAAACGTCCCCAGGAATGGAACTTGTTCGTAAACCGGGGACTGCCCCTGTATACTGATGAGAACAAGGACAACCCTTTCTTCCCACAGTAGTGTTTCTACAGTAAACATAATCTTTAATGTTTTTTATTAAAGATTCAACTTACCCCTCTGTACTCGTAGGAGGCAGGTGGGTGCTTGAAATCTGGTCCAAAATTCACAGATAATGTAATATTTCTATATAGAGACACTCCTGGATAATATGTGCCCCCATAAATATTCTGGAATGCTTCTCCACAGCATTTTCCATTCCTGAAAAAGTGTAATAATCACTAAAACTTGCTGCATTTACACACATACATAATTCTATATATTTTACAAATGCATTAGCATTTTAGAAAATTTCACGATCTACTAACATTTCATCATTACAAAACTAATACATTCACCGCACATCCACTATGTACAGTCAGTAAAATAAGTATCGACTACTCCAAGGTCGGTGGAATAGAAAATGAGAGATACCAACCAACTGATGCTGGAAATCAGATATACGTTTACAGTTTTCACATAATGCCTCGTGTTGTTATGCACAGTAGGGTGTTTGATATTTTTTTTATTGACTGCACTTTATATTTAAATCTTTGTGTTTTCTTGATAAAATGCTTCATATATTTCAATCACTCTTCTGTTTTTGATTCTATAACCTTAAAATTAAGTTTGACTCTTTCCTCCCACTATTACTTGCAAACAAATTTCTTTGTAATTTGCAGACTTAATTCTATAACCTTCTTTCAGTTAGGTAATTCTTGCTCCTTTTCAGGATAAGTTATCAATGTAAATGGGCAAATCACAAGCCATGCTGCAACAAGTCTAAGGCACCATAACTCTGGTTAAAATCCACAGTTACTTGTTTAATTCATTGTGTTAAAAAAGCTGTACATGCACATACAATCCTACAGTACCTGTACCTAGCAAATGATACAACAATCCTAAATAATAATGAACTATAATACACTTTCATATAAAAAAGTAAACCAATCCACAGAGTTTATAAAAAGTAAATGAGCAGAAACCAGTTTTTGTCATAGATGGATGAATGGACTGTAAACAGCTTCATGCTATATTATTCCCCCCTGAACTTCTGGTCAGGGGGACAATTAATGAGAGCTACTGGAAATGGTATACCTAACCTTTGAAAATGACAAGAGTATAACTTATATATTACTTCTGCTTTGCAACACATCCAACCACCCAAAGAATGAACCTTCATAACACATTATACTTTAACCCCCCAAATCTAAAAAAATATATATATAAACCCACAGAATCTTTTGAGTACTGTACTTATCCCCAGAATTTTCAGTCACCAAAAGAAAATAATGAAATTAGTAGTAGCAATAATAAAATAATAATAACAATAATTTCTCCAGTCATGATTTTTTGCTTTGGCCACATTCACACTACACAGCCCACTTGGTTGTTTGACATACATGCATGCATGCATGCACATGCACGCACACAGACAGACCATTTCCATGTTGAAAAATTTTCAAATCCAAATAAATATATTACTCACTTGAAAAATATAATTTTACCACCATTGAGAGGTTTCAAGTTCTTTAGAGCTTCAGGAACATCATCCTTATCTTCATAATAAAGATGGGATCGAAATTTAACTAGAGGCTGAAAAACAGAAGATGATTAATTGCACTGTAGCTATAATTTAACTGAGTATAAGTACTGCTGTAGTAAAGATTAACAAGGCATAATCAGCTGCCATTACATCATATTTACTTTCACTTGGATCTCTCCCTCTTTTATACTGTATATATATATATATATATACATATATATATATATATATATATATATATATATATATATATATATATATATATATATATATATATATATATATATATAAAAAAAATAAAAAAATATATATATATATATATATATATATATATATACCTAAGACCCGACTTAACTCACATTGGACTTCTGACCGCCTCAGATATAGATAAAAAAAAAAAAAAAAAAAATTAAATGACCGCATTTCTATACGAAACGTTTCCAGTTAATGTAGTCTCCATGTATAATTAGAAAATTATGGGGCCCCATGTGCATTCAGCAGACTACATTAAAGGTTAAGTGCTCAATCACACTGTATCCATTCCTTATTATTTATTACTTCTGTATCCATTCATTATTACTTTGTATTTCATTGTAGATTTTTTTATCTATGTCGGACTTGACCATGTGGATTGACCTGGATTTGAGTCCCTAACCCGTCGTAGAATTCGGGGTCTAGGTGTATATATACAGTAAAGTCAAAATCGGATGCCAGAAATCCGGACCACCCGAGAATCGGACTTTTGGAAAACTAATTATTATTATTATTATTATTATTATTATTATTATTTTTTTTTTTTTTTTTAGCGGGCTTTTGTGTGTATGTGCGCATGCGTGGCGCCACAGCTGCACTGGCGACAAGCGACCACGTGGTCGCCACTTTAAACGAACAATCAAACTGTGACAACATACCGTATATACTCATCTATAACCCCCTCGTTTATCGGTCAACCCTGATTTTTGACCAAGAAATCGTTAATTTATGATATTCGTTTATAGTTCGACCCACGTTTTGAGGGTAAGGAACAAAAAACCTTCAGTAAAAACGCTCTCGTCCTATAAACTGAAACACGAGTGCGAGCAAATTGTTTCCCATTTATTATTACGACACTTTACACTGAAAGCGGGTAGTTTCAAAAAATATTGTATATTTCCATTCAAGTATTTATTCAAGTCAATTAGGAGGAATATTATTGTAATACAACATTTTTTAACTAAACCATTCAGCGATTACGGTAACATCTTTTGAGCGAAAAGCGAAAGTCATTGTTTTTAGATTCGATTTTATCCCTTTCACTTTAATACATCATTGATTTCAGAAAAATATTACATTTCCGTGAATGTAGTATATCAAGCACAGTATGAATAGAATATCATTGTAATATAACAAAATTTTAACCAACTATTAAAACAGTAACATCTCAAGAACATCGGAAGCTTAGGTAAAGTCTTTTGTTTTAGTCATGTATTTTATCTAGTTTACATTGAAATACATCACGTTTCAGCAAAACTACTATTTATTTCCGAGAATATTATTCATTCAGGCGCAGTTAAGTAAAATATCGTGTGATGTAATAGTTTTTTAACTGAAAAGCGATTAGAAAACTTCGTGCCTCTAGCCCTGTTCAAGGAGAGACTGGGAGAAGCAATTTGGTGCTGCAGACGATGACAAAGAAAATGATTTTGATGGATTTTAATGAAAATATTCAGAAATATAGTATCATAGTATTTATTCAAGTCATTTAGGATAGAATATTATTGTAATACAGTACAACAGTTTTTTAACTAAACCATTCGAAAAGCGATTACGGTAACATCTTTTGAACGAAAGAAAGCGAAAGTCATTGTTTTCGTCACGATTTGATCCCACTTTCCGCTGTAATACGTACGTCATTTTAGCAAAAATATTACATTTCCGTGAATGCATTATATCAAGCACAGTATGAATAGAATACCATTGTATTGTAATACAGTATAACAATATTTTGAGTCCTACTCTTTCCATTTACAGATTACTGTACAAGCCCATAATAATGGCTCCTAAAGTAGATAAACTTCGTTGTGTGAAGAGAAAGAAGAACACGTTGAAATTGAGTGACAAACTTGAAATAATTAAGAAACTAGTACGTGGTGTGAGCAATACTGTTCTAATGGAAACATACGACATTGGAAAGTCCAACATTACTCATGTATATACCGAACATGTAAAATTATAAAAAATATGTAAGGAATATTATCACAGATGGACAGTAACGGCCTACATAGTAAACCAAAAGGTTGAAGCAAACTCTCAACTCCCAACAGGTGTCTCTTGTTTAACTTTCATTCATTTAGCGATATTTTGATTTAGCGATTAAAATTTTTTAACACCCTTTCTTGTTTAACAATTGGTCAAAATTCAGTTTAATGTTCAACTCACAGGGAAAATCTTGGGAGGGAAGTCGGAAAAACTGGGGAATCTGTTCTCCAAGTGCACATCATTACAGTACGCACTCTAATGTGGCTTTCATAGTTTCACTACATATAGCAATGTCAATATGCCATCTCCATAGATATTATTCCTCATTAACCCTCGTTTAGTGATAATTTCGCTTAATGTTGGGTTTTACAGAAAAGCATTCCATCTTGAGATGAGGGATACCTGTCCTTCCTTTTCCAGCATTCATATACCATACCACCTACCTTTATTACGTTATTTAACAATTGTGCTACTTAAAACAACATTTGTATACTATCTACTTGAAGAAAAACAAAGCAGCTAAGATCATTAAAGAAACACTGAATGAAAGTTTAACACAACTGCCATTTGCATAGATATTGGCAGCATGGCCTCAAAGCTTGCCATAGCAGTGCAGCCCTGTTGGGACACTGCCTCTGCTGACCCCCTACCAACAGAGCTCCCACACTCAGCCTGCTAACTCTCACACACACAGAAAAGTTTATTCCCTCTGTTTTTGACCTTACGATATTTATTATTTTTTATTTTATTATTATTATTTTTTTTTACATTATGAATGAAGGAATATGTAAAAAAGTTAAATACAGTATACTGTATCTACCTGACATTATAAGTTGAAAAATAGCCATAACATAGCTCACAGTTCGGCCGGGTAATGAGAAAGCTGGGGGGATGTGGCGACAGTGTTGAGTCTAACTTGGCAACTATGTCACCAGCAATGTTAACACTTAACAGATGCAAACTAAAAGAAAATTATCTGTAAATCTTGTAAGAACATAATTAAAGAATCTAGGGGTATAGTAGGCAAGCCTACCACAAGCTTGTACTAAGTGGTTACCATTCACCGTAAATGACCCATGGACAAGTTTGCTCATATTTCTGAAAGTTCTTAAGGGGAGCGTCTGGCTGAAAATAGGATGTCGGAAAATTACGAAAATATTCAGAAAAATTCTTGAGGAAACCTGTTGTCTATGGCTAAAGGATGATGTATTTTTATTGCATAATTCATAATAATTATGTAGCTATGCATGGTTGTTCTACCCCCCCACCCCCCTTCATTTAGAGGGCCTGTCTGTTTACATAGGAAAAGCTGTAGAAAGCATTACAGTAAAATAATATTTTGGTGTAAAGTAATACAAATGTATTAGCTCCTGTCTCATTGTTGACAGTAATATTATATAAATGTGGGTTAATTACATTAATTTTATATAACTCCATCACCCACGGTAACTTTCCATGAGCAGTGAGATGTCATGCAGTGATCATGTGGTCCATTCATTGAACAAATGATTGGTAACTTTTCACTGGAGGGCACGTCTGTAAAGAAGCTGACCATGCTTTCTTCAGAACCGCTCCTCCCTCAGTAGTTATTCAATCTCACGAGAGAAGGACGTCGAACTAAGCTTATCCAAGATAAGCTCCGTTCTTCCTCTCAGCCTCACGAGAAACAAACGTATTGATAACCAAGCATCACAGACAAGCTTGCCGTCTAACATCCATAGCTCAATTGATATAGTTAAGGTGATATCCTTTTTGAAAGTGTACACTCGCACCAAAAAGTATCGGTGCAGGGTGTGATCGACGACTTCCGAAACGATACGTAGACACTGTGATATGTCGGGAAGGTTGGTAAGTGTATCCTCATAACCCCCCCCCCCTCCCACTAGGTGTTGCCATATGGCTGACAATCAGTGTGTTTGTTTCCTCTTTTCAGATTGTTGCTTTGAGTCGACTGAATGATGAGCGAGGGTTTGGTCTCGGTGAACGTGGGTATAAAACAGAGGCAATATGAAGCAGTAGAGACCTACACATGCCAGACGACATGGAAACCTCAGAGGGAACACGAGGAGCTATTATTGCCCTTCATAACGAAGGGCTCGGCATCACAGATTAGCCAGCGGGTTGGTGTCCACAGGAACACCGCTGCACGATGGATTCGGCGATACTTCGAAACTGGTACTACAGACGACAGGTCTCGGAGCGGCCGTCCACGCTGCATCACCCCTCAGGACGACCAGGTTGAGTGGTTTATTTGTTAGCATAAATTAATGTGGCAATATTCACAAGTATCACAAATAATTTTGTTAACAGGGAGCTCCTCATATTTCATACTGTCTGTTTATCACTTCCCGACCTTATTTATAACGGTTTGTTTCACTTGACCAGGGCTGCCAACATACGGCTGGAACAACTCGCCTTTCCCAATACCTATCGTCACTGGTCTCAAATTGTTCACACTACAGTATGCACCGATACTTTTTGTTGCGAGTGTACATAGAAACCTTTTATAATAAACGAAGAAAAGGAACATATTGGGTTTCGCTTCTAAAACCCAATAAACTTTTCCATGTTCTAGCTCCATTAACTAATCAAGAATCAATGGTTAAGGGCAAGTTCACCAATCACTTGGTAAAAATCAGTATCTGGCACCTTTCCCAGAAAGCTAACCAGAGGAGACCGTTGTCACGAGATTCAGTGAGCCATCAAACATGCGAGAGTGGCGTGTGATCGTGAGTTGCTCTCACGCCACCTTTATCGTCTGTATCTCAGAATGAGTTTTTCTAACCTACAATTCCCTAAGGCTCGGCCATTTACCGCCCGATTCTAATAAAACAAAAACTAAGTAGTAGAATAACGTACTGTGCATGGCGTAACATATAGATTTTCTTTTTATGTGGCTTGGTTTATTATTTGCTGATTTATCTTTATAAATATTTGCAGGAAAAATTGTAAGTTAGGAAAAAATTCATGCATCCAATACAAAAGTGATAATCAGAAATATCAATATGTTACGTTCAAGAAGAGTAAATTAACTATATTCCACATTAATTTCAATGTAATTTAGCAAGAAGTTATGGAGAAGTAGGACTTTAAAAGTTGATAAGAATATAAGGGAAAAATCAGATATCAGGGATTAGGGATTAGGCAGAAACAATTCAGGGTTATAATAACAATGTATCTGGTGTCCTTAATTCCTGACAGGAAATTGATATTGATTTATCAATTATTAACAAATTTCATGCTTCAGCCAGACGCTCCCCCCAAGAAGAGGAGCACCTGTACTTACTGTATAAATATTTTGAAACTGTCGACCAAATCATAAAACATAATAGTGCCGTGGTTGTTCGATATTTTAAGACTAGGGTTAGTAAGACATGAAAGCAAGAGTGCCAGAGAGGGGGCATATTTAGTAAATACAAATACAGGTTGCTAATGAGAGGATAATCAGCTACCATTTGGGAAGATATTGCCCAAGTGAGTGATTCAGAATAAAAGTTACAAGTGTTAGTTAATAAGTTTGGAAGTGAGTGCACTGGGAAAAAGTTAATCATAAATATGAACAAAAATAGCTAGAAATTGGTGTAGAAGGATGACATGGTGTAATATATGTCAATTTAAATGGAGTGATAGGATTAAGTGAATGTTTCATACATCTGGGAGTTGATATGTTTGCCAATGGAACAAAGGGTGACAACTGAATCTTAAGGTAAAAGAAAGAAATACAATACATGGTAATAGGTAAATTAAGGAATACAGGAAGAGAGAGAGCTGTGTTACACTATAAAAGACTTCAATTCATATCCTATTTCATCTCCTCTTTAAGTAAAAACAAAAATGTCTGTAGGGTAAAATTTTGTTTTTATAGACGAATAAAATAAATTACCTCTGTATTTCTGCCTATAACCTCCCCTTTTATTCTATTTTCCTTATCTGTATCATTAGTCCAAGTTCTTTTCTTTGAGTACCACAGTGTGACTCGTCTAAAACTGATATCTTTATAAGTCCTCTCATTCTCTCCAGCATACCAATCTTTACCTTATCCTTGTACGTAGGTGGAAACTGTGACACAGGGTTCTTCTCAGGAAGGTCAATCATTATACCAAGGACATCTCCCTCACCAAAGCCGCCCTCGAAGTAATGCTTTCCTCGAGATTCATGAAATACTGTACCTTTCCTGCAATATAATAAAATTAAAAATCCAAAAATCCAATCCCTTATTGAATTTTTTTTTAAATACAGTGGTCCCTCGGTTAACGAGCACAATCCGTTCCAGCAGGTTGCTCGTTAACCGAAACCATTGTTTCAATGGGTTTTTGGGTAATTGGTTCCAGCTCACCGAAAATTGCCTAAATTCAACAAAAAAGGTAGAAAAGTACACTTACTTTGAGGTGTGTATGTAGAAGGCTCCTGGATGATGATGATGATGATGATGATGATGGGAATTAGAATGGGGGTGGAGGAGAAGGAAGAAGAGAAGGCATTGGGGTGGAAGAGAAGTCACCCCATGGCACCATTTCACCCATAAAATTTTAGTTCTCTTGGTGTATTTCAAGATTATTTTCTTTAAATCAACACTGCACTACATTATATATTGTCAATATGTAAAATATATTTCAAAATGACCAATAATTTGCTTGGAAACACAGAAAAAAGCATTTAGTTGAAGAGAGTCTCAAGCAAGATGTTACCTCCACTGAAAACAGAGAGAGACTAACGCCTGTCTGGTGTGTTAACAGGCTGGATGGCACGCCAGAAACTAGTTTCTTTACCTTCAATTATGTTCAATAATTGTTAAAATGACTAAAAAAGTTAATATTAAACTTTTAAAATTATTGAATAGTATAAACTTCTTGATATTTACTAAAATAGTAAGGAATTTAAGCCCTAAAACCGATTACTGTATTGGCGGACTAATACTACAGCTGGTGGACCGCCAAATGCAAGCGAAAACATGTTGAAGTCGGCTCGTAAAAAACTCGTTAATCGAGGGATTGCTCGTTAACCGAAGTTAAGAATCTTATGGAAGGTAAATCGTTAACCGAAATCTCGTTAACCGAGGCGCTCGTTAACCGAGGGACCACTGTATTAAGATTTCAAAGAATCATTTACATTATTCAATAATATTACCTTGACCTCCATGAATAGCCAAATTTATCATATCCAAGAGGTGCCTGAAGGTTTGCAAGTTGCTGGCACCATCCAATACGAGTGTGTGAACCTTCTGGTTGCTCATCAATGGTGCACTCCCAATACCACACTCCACGACTCACACCTGTTACAAATAGTAACATAAATTAATTAGTTAGTCTTTCTTACCTGGGATACTCTTTTAAGGGTGAAGCATGCAAGAGCAGCCAATCCTTACTGGCAATTAGATAAATGATTAGTGTCACAACAATGCATAAATAAAGTGACCAAACACCTAAATGATGTACATGTATATCCATTCAATCATTAAGTATCTTTGGTGCCACAAGTTTGTCAACTCAAAAGAGGGGTACAACAAGTCAAAGGCATCATCTACCCACAATGGGGACTGGGGGGTGAAAACATAAGAGTAAAAAGAAATACAAAATTGAAGAGAACAAGACTATGTTAATCTACACCACGAAGATGCTGGAAAACCAACTTTTTGAAGTGAGATAGATTGTAAGAGTATGGAAACACAGAAGAAGGCAGAGCAGTCCACAGTTTGGCTGTGTGAGAAAAGAAGGATGTACTATAACGGGTTATTCTAGTGTGACCAAAATCCACACAGAAACGGTGGGCATAGAGGGCAAGACAAATGTTATGAGCCCATGGCCTTGCTGGCAGTACATAGGATGCCAAATCCACTGAACATTGCAAATTAAAGTACCTGTAAAAGAGAGATAGTGAAGCAACATTGCAGTGAAGAGAAAGGGAATAGAGATTATCAACTAAAGGGGGAGAGTTAATAAGACAAAATGCCTTTGATTCCACTCTATCTAACAGTTGGACAGAAGAGCCACCCCCAGATATGAGAGCAGTACTCTAAGTTAGGATGAATGAATTCCTTATATACTTGAACCACCTGCTCAGGAGTGAAGTAGCTATGGCATCTATACAGCATTCCCAGCTTTCGGGAGGCAGCCTTAGCAATGTTGTGGATGTGTGGCTTCCATGACATATTAGAGGAAATGGTGAGGCCTAGCAAATCTATTTTAGAATTTGGCAGAATGATTAAATCCTGAAATGTGATTGGTGGGTGTGCTTCTATTTTGAAAAGTGTAATTGGTAAATACCGTGTTTTATTACTATTTAATTTAACCAGGTTTTTACCTCCTCATTCGAAGATGTTGCACAGATCTGCATTGATAGATGAAATGATATCAGCTCTAGAAACAGATCTAGTTTGAGAATTGTGGGGGGGAACGGAAAAATGTGAAGAGTAGAATCACCAGCGTAATAATGGATAGAATTAGTCATAGTGTGAAGTAAATCATTGATAAAAAGAAGGAAGAGAGTAGGTGAAATAACAGAACCCTGTGGGACACCACTATTGGTAGAGAAAGAACGATATATCAAATCCTCGACAACAACTGCCATGGAATGGTTCTCAAGAAAGCTAGAAATTAGAGAGCAAAGTGGGGGAGAGAAAATATAAGAGGGAAGTTTAGAAAGCAAAGACTTGTGCCATACCCTGTCAAATGCTTTGGAGATGTCGAGAGCCACGACAAAAGTTTCCCATAATCCCTAAGAGAGGATGACCAAAGATGGGTGCAGTAGGAGAGCAGATCATTAGTAGATCTCACCTGGAGAAAGCCATACTGGTGATCCGACAAAAGAGAAAGGTGTTCAAGGCGATGGAGAAATGAGAGTTTAAGATAGTATAAAAAATCTTAAAGAGGGATGATGTTAGGGCAATGGGGTGATAGTTAGAGGGATTGGAATGGTCACCCTTCTTCGGGATGGGCTGAACTGAGGCATACTTCCAAGAAGAAGGAAAAGTTTGGGTTTTGAGGCAAAGGCAAAAGAAGCACACAAGCACAGGGGCCAGATTTTCAGAACAAGAAGGGGGTATTCCGTCTGGTCCATGCGCCTTACTCACATCCAACCTGGATAACACACCAGCAACCCTATGAGAGGAGATTATATAGGAAGGTGCATAGGTTCAGTAGCAGGAGCAAGAATAGGAGTGGTAGAGTTGGAATCGTCCAAGGTGGAGTTAGAGGAAAATAAGGTGCCAAAGAGGTTGGCTTTATCAGGGGAGAGTTGGCTAGTGTTATCAGGTTGGAAGCAAGGAGGAAAAGAGGGAGTACAGAAGTTACAGAAGTTTTTGGTTATGGACCAGAAGGATTTACTAGACGAAGAGTTAGTCAGGTCAAGAGTCTTTCTTTTTATAAAATTCCACTTGGCCCTACAAAGAATAATCTTACAATGATTCCTAGAAGTATTGACAGAGGAGTGGGTAACGGGAGAAGGAAAAGGAGTGGAAAAGCAATATTCATTCCAGAGAAAGTCGGGGAAGAATTCTCACAAGGATTGCCAGTTTGCCCTCCAATGGTGCCATAGTTGGCATTTAGAAGGGGATGTGGGAGGTGGTCCTGCCCAGTTTGATTTAAAAGAAATAAGATTGTGGTCAGAAGACCCTAAGGAGGCAGAAATTGAGTATGAATAGAGTGAAGGGTTAAGAGATAAAACAAAGATCAAGAATGTTAGTAATTGATCGTGTCGATCCGGACTGCCACGACAGTAAGTCCTCACTTAACGTCGTCCTGCTTTACATTTTTTCGGTACTACGTTGCTGAACTTTAGAGACCAAATATTCATTTAATGTCCCGGTGATCCCTATACTACGTCGTTTTGCGTCATCACGGAGTACTTTTTGCGGTGCATCACCGACTCGTTTGGCCGCGCTACGCTCTCTCGGCTCGGCGTGCTGCCCTCACTCGCGGAATGTAACAGCGTCCCCAAGCTACACCAAGCCAGTCTCTGTTACGACTTCACATCATTAGTGTGTACTTAAGTTCTTTTGCTCTAAAACTGTACATTAACATTTGAAATGGCTTCCAAGCGCCCATCAAGTGCTACTGATGCTAGTGTAGTGAAGAGGCAAATTTGAAAAAGGGGAACGTGCTGTGGACATAGCCGCTGTGTTTGGTCTAACCCCCACAACGGTGCGTACTATCCAGACCAACGCTGACAAGATTAAGGTTAGTGCTTGAAGTGGTTCTTCTCTGAGTGGTACCTAAGACGACTCGTACTAGAAGCACTGTGATAGAGAAGGTGGAAAAAATGCTGGCAATGTGGATGGAGGACCAGAATTAACGCAATGCCCCTGTGATCCTTATGGTTATCCAGCATAAGGCCAGATCCTTGTATGACGACTTATAGGTAGAAGAGGGTAACGGAATGAAGGAAGAGACCTTTACAGCCAGCCGAGGATAATTTCAACAATTTAAGTGTCGTTATAACTTCCAGAATATTAAGATGACTGGTGAAGCTGCCAGTTCAGATACGGTTGCTGCTGAAAAATTCCCGTCAGAATTCAAACGGATTATCCAGCAAGGAGGCTACGCATTGAAGCAAGTCTTCTATGTGGATGAGACTGGTCTCTTCTGGAAGAGGATGCCCGAGAGGACCTATATCTCCAAGGAAGAGAAGAGTGCCAGGTTTTAAAGTGGCAAAAGGCCGCTTGACGCCGCTGCTTGGCGTGAACGCTGCCAGTGACTTCAAGCTGAAGCCTATGCTGATTTCTCATGCTGCCAACCCACGGGCCCTGAAAGGTTACTCAAAGGATCACCTTTCCGTCATTTACCAGGCAAACAAAAAGGCATGGATAACCGGCGCCATATTTAGCCAGTGGTTAAACGTGTACGCCGTCCCTGCACTGAAGGAATACTGTACCAAGGAGAACCTAAACTTCAAAATTCTTCTGATCCTCCCAATCTTGACGACTTGCATGACAGTGTAGAAGTTGTATTCCTGCCTCCCAACACGACAGCACTGATGCAGCCTATGGACCAAGGCGTCATCATCGCATTCAAGGCGTATTATTTACGCCGTACCATGGCCCAGCTGCTCAACGCTACAGACGGAGAAAATAAACCAACGATCCGAAAATATTGGAGCGGCTTCAACATTCTTCATGCAATTGACAATATTGGCAAGGCATGGGAAGAGGTTTCAGAAAGTTGCCTGAATGGTGTGAGGCATAAACTGTGGCCCGAGTGCGTCAACAGTTTTATGGGGTTCACGGACTTAGTCCCAGCTGTGAATAGGGATATCCTCAGCTTGGCTAGACAGGCAGGCTTTGATGAGCTGGAATCAGAGGATATTGATGACGTCCTGGCATCCCATAGAGAAAAGCTCACCAACAAAGATCTGCAACAATTAACAGAACACAGTTCCATTGAAGATGACAACGAAGAACCTCAACGAACGCTAACTTCAAGGAGGTTGGCAGAATCGTTGAACATGTTCCAGCAAGCAATACTTCTAGATGACGACCCAAACAGAGAACGTAGCTCAAAGGTTCAACGCAGCTTGAGGACAGTCTTGGTTGCTACACCGAGATCTATAAGGAGAAGATGAGTAACACCAAGCAGTCAACACTGGATTCATTTTTTCATCACGGGACGGCAGGAGCTTCCTTCACAACAGCTGGCAACGGAGGAGGAGCAAACAACAACGGAGGAGGAACCCCAGTCAGAGCAGGAGGAGGACGAGGCAGTCTCAGTGACTCACCGCCCTCCTCCGCTTCTGCCATCCTTTTCCTTTGCTCCACTACCCACCACACATTCGCTCTACCATCTCCGCCCACGGTGAGTACCAATACAAGGTTAGTAGTGTAGTTCTATATACTATTCTCTATAGAAATGGCAATGACTTTCTGTATATGTAACGTTTTTCATGGGGCAAAGGGAGGCTCAGGAACGTAACTCCTGTATTTTTATCTATTTCTTATGGGGAACATTGATCCGCTTAACGTTGTTTCGAATAACGTCGCATTTTCAGGAACGTAACCCCGACATTAAGCGAGGACGCCCTATGTAGTATTTCCACGCTAAGCTGGCCCTTAAGCTCCGCCCCTCGTCTACAGCTACAAATAGCTGATTGGTTCCCCTGAGCGTTTTACCTCCCCCCAGGACTCCGCATATATAAGAGCGTATTTATATCGACTTTTTATAATAATTATTCAAAATTTTCTAACATTCTCTCTGAAGTGCTAATGCCTTGAAATGATTTGCATTTTGATAGTCCAGATATTTAACATTACTTTAGGTAATAACAGGTCTATTTACCAATTGTGAACACATTTAGTTTGAATTTTCTTTCAACCAATTGGCTATTAGTATAGAAGAGGGGCGTGGCTTATGGGCCAGGTTAGCAAGGAAAGAGTATAGTTGTAGGGGACATATCTTATTACATGAGTCCCATTACACCCTCCTCCCTTTACCAATGGAAGATCTTCCTTGTGTGTTAACAACAAATGATGGTTATCTGGGAAATATATCAGAGTATTTCGTCTAGTCTTTCCAATTGTAATGAGAGAAAAAGAAAGTGTGTGTACTTTTGGGGTCCTGTACATCTTTGATGTAATTAAAAAGACAATATTAACTTACCATGAGTGGCTCTGATAAGACAATAACCTTTGTCTCCTGTCACGGCCAAACGGTCATCAGCTGTTCGAAGTTGTGGTGCACGGTCATGCAGAGCAAGTAATACTGCCCCAGGACTGAGGGCACGATATAGCCATCCAGGAATTGGTTTACCTGCCCAATCATTGCTGTCATCAAACTCTTGTCTGAAAAGAACTTTTCATTGTAAGTAAAACACTGGAGTGAAAGGTTCTTGGTTAAAACTAAAGTAAAAAGTAGCAAACTACTGAAGTTGGCTTTGTTTATCTCCCTGCATAACTACAATTCCATAAAAGAGGAATAAATATTGTTACTACAGCACCCTGTAATGGATTGCCACAAATTCTCACTCAATACCATCCTCCCAGGGTGCCAATTGGGGATCCCTTTCTGTTCACTAACAGATACTGTAGAAGGATATTGTAAAAAGTCACCAATGCAGTATGGACAGAGTCACAGGCTGATCCTATAGCTGTAACAAGTGATTGCGGGCACCTTCGTGCCCAGTGTAAGTTTGAACGCTCGTGCTTGGCTAGTGTACAGCGAATGAGGGTGCGCCAAGTCCGTAGACTTGCATGGTTAATTAGGGTGTGCCAAGTCTGTAGACTTGCAAGGTTAATTAGGGTGCGCCAAGTCCGTAGACTTGCATCGTTTTCCAACATAAATAAAATGGTTAATTAATGCCTTCCTAAAGAAACCATCAACATGGGACCAGGTTTGTTCCACTCTACGAATTTTTTGCGATTTTTCCACCAAGCTTGATGAAAAACGATTGTGCCGTTTCGGCTGCCCAGAACAGACAGACAGACAGCTAGTCCTAATAATAATAATAATAATAATTAATGGTTTATTGAAAGAGCATGGCAGCCGGAAGGCTGAAAATATACAATTACATAATTGGGGAATGGGTCTTTTGATTTACCAATGATATACAAGTAAAGTAAGTGATACAAATATGATATATAATAATTAGGTGTTGATAATTTTTACAATGGTTGAGACTGGGCTGTTCTTGTAGCAATCAGTTCGTGCTCGTATGGGCTAGATGCAGTTTGGCAGGTGTGTGGCCACGTGGCCAGGACAGTAGCTTGGGGCAACTTGGTATTTACCAATTACACTTTCCAAATTAGATGATCTCCCACCAATCACATTTCAGGATGCAATCATTCTGCCAAATTCTAAAATAGATATGCTAGGCCTCACCATTTCCTCTAATATGTCATGGAAACCACACATCCAAAAGATTGCTAAAGCTGCCTCCCGAAAGCTAGGAATGCTGTATAGATGCCATAGCTACTTCACTCCTCAGCAGGTGGTTCAAGTATATAAGGGATTCATTCGTCCTAACTTGGAGTACTGCTCTCATATCTGGGGTGACTCTTCTTCTGTCCAACTGTTAGATAGGATGGAATCAAAGGCATTTCATCTTATTAACTCTCCTCCTTTAGTTGATAATCTCTCTTCCCTTTCTCTTCACTGCAATGTTGCTTCACTATCTCTCTTTTACAGGTGCTTGAACGGGCAAATTTCGATGGATTTGGCATCCTTTATTCCGCCGGCAAGGCCATGGGCTCGTAGCACTTGTCTTGCCCGCAGTGCCCACCGTTTCTCTCTGGATGTCGGTCACACTAGAATAACCCGTTATAGTACCTCCTTCTTTCCTCACACAGCCAAACTGTGGAATGCTCTGCCTTCTTCTGTGTTTCCATACTTATACACTATGTCTCATTTCAAAAAGCTGGTTTTCCGGCATCGTCGTGGTGTAGATTAGCATCTTTTCTTTTCTATTTTTAATTTCTTTTTACTCTTATTTTTTCGCCCCCTAGGCCCCATTGTGGGTCAATGACCTGTGTCTGGGTGGGCTATTCCCCATTAAAAAAAAAAAAAAAATATATGATAGCAAATTTATTTCATTTATTTTTTTAACGGACTAATTGCACATACATTCTGAGAAAACTACCAGATCCATAGTTAACTCGCATGTTCACCCCATATTTCCTCTTCTATTTGTAGTGAAAGCTTTTGTTAATTAAGTGACCCATTCCCCAGTGTCACTATTTGTAACTCTTATCATCTCTATTCAGTGTATATTTTTCAGCCTTTTTACTGCAATCTTTCAATAACCCATTAATTATTATTATCATTAGACGGGTACAGCAAAACGTCGATATAACGCGTGATAGTCCAAGAGTCTCTCAGTCTCAAGCAGGGGAGGAACCTGGAAGAGGCCAGCCCCTATGACATCGACGACGCGGTCGAACAATGGTACATTGATGTGAAGACGGAGATGGACAACAACATCCCGACCACCACCCACAGGACCATTCCCCACCCTCACACTAGTCACCAGCTAAGGCAGCTCAGTGTCCAGTACGATCACGTGAGACAGCTAGCCAGTATCCGCTGGTGGACGCAAAGGCTGAAAGACCGGTACCGAGAGCTACAGACAGACATCCAGCAGGAGAGCAAACGTCTACATGAACAAAAGTGGGCTGCCTTGGTGTGGGAGGCAGCCAACAATTACTGCGATTCTGCTGCATTCTGGAGAGGGATCAAGCGACTGATGGGTTCCACCTCTAGCACGGTCCCTTACTTGCTCGACCAAAACAACGTGAAAATATTCGAGGCTGAAAACCAAGAACAATTACATCAGCGATATTTACGGACGATTTTTACCAATAGTGAAATGGAGAACGAGGGCTTCGACAGGGAGTTTGAGGAGGACATTTTAGGTCAGTTGCAGGACCATCAGCACTTGCTCCAGCCGCTCGCACGGACTGACTTCACGAGACTGGTGGACGACAGCTACCTGACGGAGCGCACAGTTCCTGCAGATGTGTCAGCCGTTATAAAATGGGTTTAAAAACAAGTTACCTGGGCAAAGCCATATTAACAAGAAGATCCTGGCACAACTCCTTGACAACTTGATAGATAGGCTTGCTCATATATGCAATGCCTGCCTCGCCTCTGGATACTTCCCTAAGATGTTCAAAATCGCCGTTATCTGCCTCATACCAAAATCAGGGAAGCCTCCAAACAAAGTCGAAAACTTTCAACCAATATCGCTGCTAGAAGTACCTGCCAAAATCCTCGGAAAAATAGTAAACAAGCGGTTGCGGATGTTTCTAGAGCAGGGGTTCTCAAACTTTTTTCAACCAAGGACCCCTTATATACCATGACGCATACAAATATTGTAAATACAGTGGTCCCTCGGTTAACGAACACAATTCGTTCCAGAAGGTCGTTCGTTAACCGAATCCATTGTTTCAATGGGATATTGGGTAATTGGTTCCAGCTCACCGAAAAGCACATACAAAGTGAAAAAAAAAAAAATGCAGTAAAGTACACTTACTTTGAGGTGTATATGTAGAAGGCTCCTGGTTGATGATGATGATGGGAATTAGAAGTGGGGGTGGAGGAGAAGGGAGAGAAGAAGGAAGTGGTATGGAGGAAAAATCACCTTCAGTGGACCCATGCTTGATGCCTCATTTCACCAATAAAATTTTAAGTTCACTAGGTGTAATTCAAGATTATTTTCTTTAAATCAACACTGCACTGTGCTATATATTATCAATATGTTAACTAAAGTTCAGAATGACCAATAATTTCAATGAAAAATGCAAAAATGTTCAAGACACCAACAAAATAGATGCTCTCTCCACAGAAAACAAAGCCAGACTGACGCCTGGTGACCGACCCACGTACAGTATCTGATGGGTGCACAACTAACTAGTTCCCTGTACTGCATATATTATCAATATGTTAAATAAATGTTAAAATGACTAATAATTTTAATATAAAACATTCAAAAATATTAAAAAGCTGAAATTTATTGATATTTAATCCATTGGAAACGAATTTAAACTTAGAACAGATTACTGAATTGGCAGACTGGGCCACCAGCTAATGCTCACAACAAAACGTGATTTTCGTAAGGATTTCGTTAATGGAATTTTTGTTCGTTAACCGAATTGAAGATTCTTATGGAAGGTAGTTCGTTAACCGAGGCGTTCATTAACCGAGGGACCACTGTAATCAAAGAATAAATCATAGTCCAAAGCATTTGTTCATTTCAACCCAAATCCAAAATATCCTGCCACAGTCAATTCTGCTATAACGCGATAGTTGTGTTCTTGTAAAACATCGTGTTATAGAAATTCGTGTAATAGAAATAACAGGGCTTATGGAGAAAATAGGGTTAGGTGCAGATTACTACTCGAAATCGAAAAAAATTTAGTACAGGTTGACCATCAAAAATCCGGCAATCGATAAACCGGAACCTTCAGTTTTCCGGCATGGATTTCGGAGCGCATTTTCAAATATTTCTTTGTTTATTTAATGAAGATATATGTTTTAGCTCATAAAATTCATACAAATTACCCGGCCAGAATATAATTTACATTGCTGGAATTCTTACAATTTGATGATCATTTTGAATATAAACATCATAGATTTTGCATTAGACATACAAATTTTAGATATAATGTTTACTCTGAGTAAATATGTTATCTTTTGTGCAAAATATATGACATTTATATTCAAAATATTCCTGGTCTTACAAGGAATCCAGCAATGTCAATTATATTATCCTAACTTTAGTTTGAGGTATTATTTATTACTATACCTGGTTTTCCCCCCAAAATTTCTCAGAGGGAAGAGCCAGCGAGTGTAGTGTGAGAAGAGGGGGAGGGAGTGGAGTCCATTATTTGAATGGACATTAACTTGGCGACTGTATTTCTCTATTTCTCTTAAGTATTAATTGTGTGCATGTACCATCATAAAATTAAGATGTTATTTTTACTAGAACATAGGTATTGTGTTGGAAAAAGTGGAGTTTGGGGGTCAGCTGGTCTCTATTTCATTTAATCCCATATGTTATGTTATTCACTTTACGCGTTTCTCACTTTCCGCGGTACCCTGTGGGTTACATTAACCGCGTAAAGTGAGGGTTGACTGTATGTATGTATATATATATATATATATATATATATATATATATATATATATATATATATATATATATATATATATATATATATATATATATATATATATATATTTCATGTAAATCCACAATGAAAACATGGATAAGATAAATCTTGATAAAATCACACGGGAAAATGGAAACAACGGAGCACCTTAGCTTTCGTCTTTATTCAAGACATCTTCAGAGGCAACTGAAGATGTCTTGAATAAAGACGAAAGCTAAGGTGCTCGGTTGTTTCCATTTTCCCGTGTGATTTTATCAAGATATGTATGTGTGTGTAATGGCATGCTGTATTTAACTTATATTTTTATTTAGGCATTTAATTATTATTTTTGGATCATAAGTGTCCTTCAGGAATATAACCCTTATTTATATTATTAAGCCTATGGTAAACTTGTACCTAACATCACACTTTTCAAGAACACATGTCTAATATATAGCAAGGTATATCTGTAAAGTTCTTGAGGAGAGGGTGGGTGAATTGGTTAACAGTTTGCACTTTATTTTTCCTATGCATTTACTAAAGAACCAGCATTGACTGCTGCCATATCAAGTTCTAAGAAGGTTTGAATTACTGTAATCTTTCTATTTAAAACTCTTCAAATGTTATCAAGATATCATATGAGCCATAAACTGCCAAGCAAATTTTTTCCTTAATGCTTTCTTCTGTAAAATATCATGTCACAGCATGCAAGTTGCAGCAAAATATAAACTGTAACATGTATAGTAATTTAAAATATAGCTTCTGGAACAAAATACTACCTGAAAGGAGCATGAGGATCAGGCTCAGCAAGGATGTATCTATAACCATCTTTATTAAATGGATGGTCCACTGGATAACCATGAAGCTTTGGTGCTGGCATGTCCCCTCGAGCCTTCTTATTGCCAGCAGTAGTCTCCGGCATCTTTCGTTTTGCTCCTCGACCCTTTCCTGATTGCTGCTGTTGAGCTGTGTACAAAGAAATATTTGTCAGCAACATAAAAGCAGCAATTTTCATGAAATATAATGCAAATTGAGAATGATATTAAGAAAATGCAAGGCTGTTATCAAATATTATGTTTTATGAAAACATGGTAACATAAGCTGAATATCTGATGTTAATCCATGCTCATTAGGCTGGCTTCAATAAAGATTAATGATTCACAATTATAATTTCAATATTAATACTGCAGTCAGTATGCTACAATAAAAAAAGAACAGTATGCAAGATTGAAAACATGCAGCTATACTTCTAATATTACAAAATAGAAGTCTTAATGAGTTATATTCAATACAAAAATAAAAATTGAAATGCAAGACTGAAAGATTTTTTCTTTTACAATAAGCATTATCTGTGCCAAGAACATGCCTGCGTGCAAACAAACAAATGCTCACTTTAGTTTTCACCTTCCCAAATACCTTGACAACCACCTCTATCCATCACTTCTTTTTCAAATTACTCTACATAAATACCTTCATTATTCAGGTCCAATTTACAGTAAGACTTAAACTGAAAGAACAAATTTGTCCAACATAACCCAAGCTACTACTTGACTAGCACAATACAGTATTACTTGATGTACCTTAGTTGTGAATTTTGTCAATCTGTAAGATGCATAATAAAAAAATTACAAGTGATAAACATTAAGTAACTTAACCTGATAATATGAATTAACTCTATTTCATGAATTTCTAAAGAACTTTATCGACTTTTATCAAATTTTCTAATATATGCTATATGTCACAACAATCAGCATAAATATAACTACATCAAAATAATTATCAGTATGATGAGATCACAACATAATAGTAACAAACACAGCCATGGACAATAAAAGGCATATAGTATATGTGCAGTATATGGTACAGTAATGAAAATCAGTATGGTCATTAAACTCTGGATAATGAAGGTACTGATTTAAAAATTGCCCAACAAAACAAAATCACCTGACAATAAACAGTGCTAACTTATCCTTTCAATATTTTTTTACGGACTCTTACCTTCCTTAAATTTTGACTGATTAACTACATTTAGTATTGTACTGTAATAACCCTTACAATTAACAAGATACATTTCTAGTGCAATAGTAAACAACTGTAAATTATATACAGTATTAAACTAATCAAATTACTGTACAGTACATGTATTATATTAGTAATTCTTCTACCATTAGTGCCAGGGTTTATTCTACATTATTAAACCTCCAAAAACCATTGTCTGTAATTTCACCTGAAAAATAAAAGGATAAAAACTGTCCCTGAAAACTACAATCTATCCTGGACTGTATAACAAGAGCTCATCCAGGAATGACAATAGGGCTTGAAGAAAATCACAAAAGTAGCAGTCACAAACAAATATAGTAGTGTACCCTAGAGTGGCCCAAAGGTAGTGTCCTGATGGTGGCTAAGACAAAGCCACAATGAAATTTTAGAATTTTTGCATTTAAAAACCTTGAGCAGCTATTTTATCAAATTAAATATCTGGCACAATATCCATTCCCACAATGATTTGCTTGAAAGAATGAAATAAAAACAATATCATACTCGCATAAACTTGCTTCATCAGTATTCACTGTGTTTCATAAATTGATGATAATACAGAATGAAGTTACTTTTGATGATGAAAGAAATGCTACAGATGAATACACTATACAGTAATGTATGTGAGTACAGTACATGTTTGAGATGAGTCAAACAGCCGAGTCCAAACTTTTCTTCAACTTGCCAACCCCAAGTTGTTTTTTTTAATGAATTTACTGATAATAAGAACTGTCAGAATCCAAAACGCATATATCCCTCACAAAAAATGCTTTATAATACCCATTAAGCATATGACCCTAATTATTAACCAGATTATTTTTTCCACAATATGTAACTGGTTATAAAATGGTGATAACAATGAAGTAGACTGAAAAAAATAACAACTTATATAGTACTTATAAAAATATTATTGTTTATCACAATCTACTCTAAAGTCTAAGTAAAATATAAGTCCTATAAATTATACAAAACTCATTTGCAAAATGTCCTTTATTTTGTCTCATGAGTTTCTTAAATAACACAGCAGGTATAATATATGTATAAAGTATTTTAAACAAAATGAGAACAAATCTTTTTTGATTGGGCATGACAGTTCCGATTGATGACGTTTGAGACGCTGATAAAAAAAATATATACTGTATACCGTATATAATAAATAAAAACCTTTAGTTACTGAACAGAAATGGAATCTGTCTTGCATTTTTAAGCCAAGGGACTTAAACTGCCACAAACCTGTACAGTATAATAATGTTGGCTCAATGATTCCCCCATAACTGTTTGCCTTCAGAGATAAAGTTATACAGTTTTAGGCCATTCCAATACTGTACTATGCAATTTTGTCAACTACAGGCAACCTAAAATACATGATATCACATTTACCATATTTTTTCAAAGTACAGTAGTGTTTTGTGATACATGAACATTAACAAGTGAGCACCATGGTTATCAATAGTCCTGTTATCTTCCTTTCCTGGTATGAGTGAGATTACAGGAAAAGAACATATGTTGTGTTAACTACAAAACTGAAGACATTCATACTGAGTGTTCCTAAGATTGCCAGTAAAATCAGCCGTGTAGAATACATGTACAGTTCATAATCATTGTAACCAAGAAAACAAAATTCTTTAACCCTATGCTAATTCGCAAGCAACTGAGTCACATAAAAGCAAAAAAACAACAAATGGGGGCGATGTTGCCAAATGCTGATATATACAGTAAACTGGTACGTATTTGAACATACAAGTATAGTAGTTCAAATGAACTCAAGTTCAAGAATATGTGGTCCATGCAGACAGAAAAAGTGAAGGAATTTGGCATTAAGGAGGCTTGTAAGTTTTTGTTAGGTTAGCTAAGCATTATTATGCTAAAGTGTTTTTCTTTTCTTTTTTAAAGAAAGAAGTGATCCTATAATGTACAGTATTTCCAAGAGCCAGTATAACACCATTGTCCCTTTTATGAGCAAAGTTATTACAGTATAGAAAACTGCTTTCAACTGGAAATCCTTGCTTATACAGACATCAAAACTGGTAGTAAGGAGGCTGCAGCATCGGAATTTAAACTGAACAAGGTCTAGATCACCATTATAACTTGAGTGAGAGCTTCTCAATGTTGGTTGGGCCGCCAAATCCTTTGCACTGAAAAATAGTATTTCACATACATTCATCCATCTCTTTCTTGGTTTCCTTTTATCATCCACCTCTTTATTATATTCTTTATACAGAACTAATTTTTACTTCCCATTTTCTCACTTGGGTCAGACCACCAGAGCAGACGCTGATCCAGTGACAAACGAGTTATCTCCCTATGTTGCTAAGAGTTTGATGCCTTATTCCCTGAGGAACTTGAGGACTGGCCACATATACAATCCTCAGTCATACATATCAACTGCAGATCATCTCCAGACCTTTCGGTGGTAAAGACTACATCAACATTTAAAGACTGTCTGAAGACCTCAGCTTGCTTGTTTGGCTATCACATACAGTATACACATGGTTGCACTTAAGACACATTAAATAACTAAAGCGGCTTGTGAAACACATAAGTTCCCACTTGCGCAAAACTCATTCAACAGGAAAATTTAACCACATAATTCAAAGTGATATTTCCGTTAGCCGGAACAATTGGTGCAGAGCACTTCCGGGAATGAGAGATTTCTGGGTAACGAGACAACTTTTCAAAGCCGGAAAAAAAATCCCCCATATCCGGAAATTTTCAGGTAACGGAAAAATGTTCCCAGAAGTTCCAGAATGATGCATTATTTCATTTCTTAAAGCTGGAAAAACCTGTCATCCCCAGAATTTTATGGAATTTTCCGGGTAACGGAAAAAATATTCTCGGAAGTTCCAGAAATTGCACCTGATTTTCATCCCCCAAACCCGGAAAAAACTCCCCCATCCCTGGAATTTTTCGGGCACTGGGATAATTTTCTTGGAATTTTCCAGAAAATGTGCCCCTCGGAAAATTTTTCCCAATGACGTAATTTTCCAGAAAATTCCGACTTTGGGAACGATTTTCCGAGAAAATTTCAATTCCAGCTATCGGAGAGTTCCGGGTTTGAGGGATTCCGGCTAACGGTGATATTACTATAAAGAAGCCGAGAAAATTTCTCTCCTCTCTGCAGGATACTTTCTGCTTAATCTTGCTAACAAATGCAGGTGAGATGGCTGTACATAAATATGGATAGATGGATGGGTGCAAATCATTGTTCTCACTATGCACAATGTAGGGGGAAAAAGCAAGTACAGTACATGCAGGCATGTAAATTGAAAGTGAAAAAAGTACATAACAATGAATAGCAAAGGAATGAATAATGGTCTTTAATGGAAGGCTTACATGAAGTCTGAGAATGTGTTGCTATATGAATTAAGCTGCACACAACAAAATTTGTCTAAGGCAACCTTTTAAGTGCAATTGAGACTTAACAATTTACTAGCTGTCGGAGCTCCTAATTTATCAAATATTTGTAAGTACAGTAGTAGGGTTCCAAGATGTACCATATATAAAAGATGTAACATTCACACTCCCTCTAGCACCATTTTATAATTGTTCTGATTAGTAAAACAATTAAACTTTTCTACTGAAGCCATAAAAGCCACCTATTTCAACAAAACAAAAACAAGAATGAAGGCTTAATCTACAAGCCGTTTCTTCTAAATCTGGCTGGAAATGTTCTGTGTACAACCCACTGAAATGTGGCACCCAAAATAACAAGTTACCTCTAAAAGCAATTACTGAGCTATTCTGAGGTGCAATATCTCATGTATCATAAATTCCCTCCGATAATGGTAAAACATTTTTTATGTAAAATTGTACTGAAAAAATTGCCTTTTCCGAGGGTTAAATACGAACATTCACCTGTGCAACTAGATTATCAGTGCAATTTACTTAAGACTCCATTTGTGTATTATTATCCCCACATGTACAGTACTATGTGACAACTCAGACATTAACTTACACTTCAATGCTCCAAGGCGATGAACAGCTATTACTTATAAATTTAAATTATTTCCCTTTCACATAGATATTGAACAAAATCATAGAAATTTTCTTGGTTCAACATATTTCTGACTTTAATGTGAGTCAAATGTGAAAAACTAAATGGAAAAAAGTGACAAGCAGAATGTCTTCTGCTGGTGATACACATGCAGAAATGAACAGCTTAAATGTTAATCAGGTTCTAAACTACCACTTAAACTTATAATACTTTAAGAGAAAAAAATTAAAACAACAAACTAATTCTTTAAAAAGCATTAAATATGGATCTCAATTATTAAGAAATAAATGAAGCACAGAAAAGCTGTCATTTGAGCTATACTTTTTTTAAAGAATGAGAATCTATGGACTACAACACTAAATTTTTTACCTGACATATCACATTACTTTTTTACTACTGTGCAGCCATGACCACAGAAGCATCCTTACTGGGATCATAAAAATACCAACAAATATTACGCACAACGATAAGCACGAACTACAGACGATGTACTGTACATACAAGAACAAGCACCTTACCGGCTCCTGGTGCCCCCCCCACCAGCTCACACACCAATGCATACACTTGGGATCACAAAGTAGGAGCAAACCTAATGCTGTAAGTTTCTTGAATGTAGATCATTTTATTCAAATTATGTACCCTCTTTTGTCCTGTCAGAATTCTAAACTACAGTAATACAAAAACTAGCACCAATAGTATCTATCAATGACAGTATCTGTTGGAGTCAAAGACTTCTTTTACATGCCCAACCCTTAAATATAACCAGAAAAAATTGAATTATCCTTTCAATATCTTGTATTATAAACTCTCTTGAATAAAATGACAGGTTTGAGGAAACATTTCCACAGGGTTGGGTCTTTACATCTACTCTCTTGATTACCTTCAATCATACATTTCGAGGATACTCCTCTTACAGACAAACACTACCTCTGATTCACTTGTTAGAAATATGAATGGCAAAGTAGTATTTTCTAGATATATCAATATCAATTTATAAACAAATGTTAATCTTCAAACACAGACACATCCTATACTAGAACAAGTAACAAAAACTCTGATAAATGGTCTTGATGATACAGTACTACCATTTTTTTCTTAATCCTGAAATACCCTTAACCAGAAACAAATAGCCTTCTTATTCTCCAGTTATAAACAAGAAAATTTATTCAGCATTTTTCCTGGGAAAAATAACCCCATAAATAAGAATATAATACAATTCCATTTCTCCCAACAGGAAAAGGAACTGTATTAGTAGTTAACACAATGTCTTATTGAGTCATGTTTCCAAGTTAACCAAACTGCAGCTCTTATATCTTGAAAAGTGAAATGTATTATTCTAGGTTATTTAGGTATGAAGCATAAAGTCATTCTAATTCAAGCATCTTAAAAAGCTATATACAGTTCAACTGCTGAGTCAGGTCTGTACCATTTCCCAAGAAAACTAAAAAGTATTATTGCAAACCTGCTGTTAAAATGGTAACAATGCAATGCAGTTAATTATTCTTGCATCACACATTCCCATACAATAAAACTTCAGCACAAAAACTTATACATGTTACTTTTAGTGTGAAACAGCATAATTACATCTGGACATGCATCACATGGCAAGCCTTAAGTTCACACCCTTAGTAGCTTCACAAGATTTTTTGTGTGGGATTAATGTCCAGCTCTTTTGTGAGGTTTGGCAAGCAAAATGAAGCACAAACAATGTTATATGGCTGCTGGATCCAAGTTTACTCACAAAAGCATTAAGTCCAATTCTTTTTTTTTATGATTGGATATTTATTCCATGTGAAATTGTTCTGATGAGCTATTAAAAATAAAATAAAATAAAATAATGTAAAATTAATACTGTATAAAAAAAAATCATATCTTTATCCTAAAATAATACACTAGGATGCTAATTTGAAGACCATTAAATCCAATGTCCATAAATGCTCAAAATCTGGAAGAAACCTATGGTACTTCTGCATATCTGTTTAATGTTACCATTCCCACACTCAAAGCAAGGTGAGGAACAAACTTAATGTTTCTCAAACAATTAGGACACTGACTAGCTCAAATCCAAGTGCTGAAGATCAGACATCAACTTTCAAAACATATGCCAAAAATGTATCCAAGTTAAAATTATAGGTGTGCCATTATTTGGCAAAACAAGTACAGTACACAAAAAAGTGGACTGTGAAAGTGGGAAAGGAAAGGAACATGGAAAGATACAACAAAAACATTTGAATACAGAAATTGAACATAACATTCTCTGAAGAATAGTAATAATCACTGTAATACTGATCAGATCATCAGGTGTCTCTGTTATGAATATAGCCAAAGAAAGAAACCATCAGTCAATGAAAGAACACACCTTCCGTGAATCATCACCACTGATCTCTCTGATAAGGACTATTATTTATTGGGAAACAGCAGCAAATGTACCATTAAACCTATTCTTCAAAGTAAGAAAGTAACTAATTTCAAGTTCTAAGTTATTAACTATATCAGTATAATTATAAATGCTTACGAATTAGAAATTAAATATTGAATGATATCAAATTGACTGTAAAATTCGAAATACAATGGTTCCAGTGATAATTATATGAAAAAAGATATATTGTACTGCATATCAGAGGAAATATACAGCCCATATCATAAGTAAAACTGAATCACAATTAAAGACTGTACTAGAAACTATTTAATAAACTAATAATATAACAATGATTTAAATGAGAATTTGTAAAAAAGACAATTATGGGAGAAGGATTTTCTGAGAGGCAGACGATAAATTAGATATATAGACTGAATTAATCAAGAAATTACAGGTACAGTATATACCATATAGTGATGCAGTATAAAAATAACATATTCTGTTTACTAAAAACTGTTGTATTGATATACAGTAGTATGAATGAAAAGTTAGAGGAGATTGAAATAATACACTAAATAAGCACATCTGGGTGATTTGTGTGGTAATTGAAATGTAAAGACAATGGGTAAGGTGTACATGTAAGAGGGATGCATAAATACAGTACACCGAGTGTGATGAAGGGAAAAGGTGTTGTACTAGACACTTTGCTGTGTAGAATACAAATACAGTACTGTATATATATATATATATATATAGTATGCAAATGTGAACAGGCTGTATTCTTCATAATTATCAATACGAAACACTACCACGATTGTCAAAAACTGGATACCAGATAAAACAAATTAATTTTTCACAAATATACAATGTTATATTTTCTGGAAAAAATATAATGCTATAATAAAAACTTATGATTTGAATGAGAGTAAGGAAAGGAGAGGAGAGAAAGATATGTCTAATAACTATCCATTTACTGTTGACCCATTTTTAAAACAATAAAAAATACTTCCTGATTATAAAAGGATTGTCAAAGATGACTTGAAGGCAATTTAACTGATCTCTGGATCCAACAATCAACACACCCATTCAAATTTGGGGCGAAAAACACAAAAGAAATTAAGCCTATAACATATTATAGAGTGCATGATACACAAAGTGAAATCTCAGCTTTTGGTGGTGGCATTAACGGTGTGGGGAGGATACGTACAGGAGCCAGAGAGGGGTGACCGCCACCCACCAGGTGCATCCACTATTGGGCGGATGAGCGTAAGATCTGATGTGAGTAGGCCAAAGAAAGGGTGGTGTTGTGTTGGCTCACCACTCTCGCCTGTTTCCTCAACAGTAAAGTATGCATCTACCTCCTTCATGAGCATTCTCTGCAACTGTGACACATAGTTCCCACATTAGTACAATCTTCCACATTACATTATATTCAATAATTTACATACTTGTAACGGCTCAATATTTAAGAAGTTACGCAAACATGTGGTAAAAACAGCATAATGTACTGTACCTTCAAAAACACAGATGCTCTTATATCATCATATCTAAAGTGAAAGTTGTCTTTGATTAATTATTAACATACAATATTAACTGAACAATGTTGATTCAGAATACTGTACAGGATTGATGGGCAAAACTCAAATTCATATGTATGAAATAAATTTATGCCGTCTGTCCATGAAATCATATTGGGTACCAGTACAGTATACAGTATAGTGACTTTGACACTTACCCTATCTCAGACTTCTAACCACCAGTAATATATCTACTGTTGGAGTTCCTTTCTAATGAGGTGGAAATGACAAACTCCATGATGCCCTGCCACTACTGATACATATTTCTACTGTCTTCTCTTGTCCCCATTCACTCCTTTGTATATGTGCTGTCAAACTCAATTAAAATGTATTGAATTTCAATTTAAAACAATTTTATTTGGGTTAGATAATAATGGGTGGCATTTAAAGTTTCAGAACACTGTACTAGATTCTCTTGTTAAATTTCAGACCAGCAGTACTGTATTTCTCAAAAATACTTCTTCATCAACCATACATACAGTGGTCCCTCGGTTAACGAGCACAATCCGTTCCAGCAGGTTGCTCGTTAACCGAAAATCTCGTTAACTGAAACAATTGTTTCAATGGGTTTTTGGGTAATTGGTTCCAGCTCACCGAAAATTGCCTAAATTCAACAAAAAAGGTAGAAAAGTTCACTTACTTTAAGGTGTGTATGTAGAAGGCTCCTGGATGATGATGTGAATTTGAAGTGGGAGGTGGAGGAGGAGAAGGGAGAAGAGAGGGAAGTGGAGATGGAGGAGAAGCACTTTACTGCTTCTTGGAAGGTGAGTCACCTTCCGTGAAAATGTCAGGAACCTCTGGACTGACAGATTCTCCACCATGAACATCCTCTCTCCTTCTTGAAGTGGAAGGCTGAGGGATAGCATCTTGTTCCCTCTGCCTTTTACTGAAGAAAGTGTCAATTGTGGTCTGTGGGGCATCTGTCCTCCTCACCATTAACTTATGTTTAAAGAAGGAGACCACTGAGTCCTCAACATGACACAAAGTTAGTTCAGTTTCTTCCACTTCTGGGTGCTTTGAAGCCAGTTCCCTGAAGTTCTCCCAGTGGTAAATCACATCTTTCAACTGTTTAGCTGACATATGGTCATCACTTTCAATTTCCTCCACACCACTGTCAGCCTCTACCTGTAACATCTCATCCAGTTGCTTCAAGTCATCAGGAGTAAGTTCCTCCTCATGAGACATCACAAGCTCTTCCACATCCTCCTCCTCCACTTCAAGGCCCAATGAATGACCAATGGACGCAATCTCCTGGTCCAACTCTGTTTCTTCCTCAAATCCCTCAAAATCATGGACTACTGATGGCCCCAGTGCTTTCCATGAAGAATTGAGGGATCTAGTGGAGACTTCTTGCCATGATGACACAATCAATTTTACTGCCTCCAGGATGTTGAATTGTGTCTTCCAGAAATGTTTCAGTGTTAGTTCAGGATCATTGGAAGTTGCCTGATGACACCTCCTAAACATTTTCTTCATGTACAACTTCTTGAAGTTGCTGATCACATTCTGGTCCATTGGCTGTATGATTGATGTAGTGTTTGGAGGCAAAAACAACACTTTCACAAAGTCAAATTGATACTCCAAATTTCTGGCAAGGTCAGGGTCATGACCAGGAGCATTATCCATGAGGAGAAGAGCCTTTAAAGGGAGTTTATTGGTGGTTAGGTAGCTCTTGACAGAAGGGCAAAACACATCAACAGCCCATTCATTAAAGAGCTGTCTTGTCACCCATGCCTTACGGTTGGACTTCCAATAAACTCCAAGCTTTGTTCTTACCACTTTCTGTTGCTTGAACACCCTGGGGTTTTCAGAGTGGTAGACAAGCATAGGCTTCAGTCGGAAATCCCCTGAAGCATTGGCACCAAGCAATAGAGTGAGACGGTCTTTCATGGGTTTATGCCCAGGTAAGGAGGCTTCATCTCTGGTGATGAATGTTCTTTTGGGCATCTTTTTCCATAACAGCCCAGTTTCGTCCACATTGAACACTTACTGTGGAAGATAATTTTCTTCTTCCATCAGTTTTTTAAAATTATCTAAAAACTTTGCTGCCCCTTCCTTATCAGCACTAGCAGCTTCACCATGCCTAACAACACTGAAAATGTCACTTCTTTTCTTAAATTTTTCGAACCAGCCTTTGCTGGCCCGAAAATCTTCAAATTCTGTGCCTGAAGAACCAGGTTGATCTGTCTTTAAATGTTCGTAAATCTCCCTGGCTCTTTCACAAATGAATTCAATAGAAACTGAATCACCTTTCATCTGTTTTTCCCTAATCCAGATGATAGGTAACCTCTCAGTTTCTGCAATTAGGGATCTACTTTTAAACACTCTTGTAGATTTGTCTCCCACTTCCACTTCTTTAAATTTGTCTTTCTGTGCAAGAATTGTCGACACAGTTGATGTCGACATGCCACATTCTTTGCATAGCGCATTTGTTCTAATGCCCTGTTCATGTTTTTTTATGATTTCCTGCTTGGTTTGGATTGAAATTGCTTTTCTTGATCTCTTAGGCCCCAGGCTGGATTCAAACAATGTCAACACGTGCATTTTAAAGTTAAACTTGTTGTAAATAAAGAATATTTTCATTAAAATAACACTGCACTGCACTATATATTGTCAATATGTAAAATAAATTCCAAAATGACCAATAATTTGCTTGGAAACACAGAAAAAAGCATTTAGTTGAAGAGAGTCTCAAGCAAGATGTTACCTCCAGTGAAAAGAGAGAGAGACTAACGCCTGTTTGCTGTGTTAAGAGGCTGGATGCCGCGCATTAAACTAGTCACTTTACCTTCAATTATGTTCAATAATTGTTAAAATGACTAAAAAATTTAATATTAAACTTTTAAAATTATTGAATAGTATAAACTTCTTGATATTTACTAAAATAGTAAGGAATTTAAGCCCTAGAACCGATTAATGTATTGGCGGACTAATACTACAGCTGGTTGACCGCCCAGTGCAAGCCAAAACTTGTTGAGGTCGGCTCGTAAGAAACTCGTTAACCGAGGGGTTGCTCGTTAACCGAATTTAAGAATCTTATGGGAGGTAACTCGTTAACCGAGGCGCTCGTTAACCGAGGGACCACTGTAGTTGTGGTCAAAAGTAATCATCCACCACTCCTACTACCATACCTACAAGCTTTTCTACACAACAAGTCACAAAAGGATGGAGGAGGTATTGATGGCGGGAGAGCTAAGGGTAGCAGACCCAGGTAAGGTAGGAGGGCCAAGTCAAGGGCCACATAGTCACATACATAGGGATATTGTATGTGGTCTTAGACTTATCCCCAACACATGAAGGTGTTAAGGTTGGTGGTTGTAGCTTGATGTTGAAGGCCTTAACCCTCTCACACATGATGACGCGATTCGCATCATGTTCATAAGACCAACTTCATGGTAACGCAAAGCGAATCACCAACTTTATAAAATTTGCCAAAAATTAATTTTTCAACAGAATTGCGTCAAATTTTGAGGCGTCGTAGTAGCAAGTAAATTCTATCAAATAAACTAATTGGCAACTCTCGAGGCCCCTAGGAAGGGAAGAACAGAACGATAAATGCGCAATATTACTTCAACAGTCAGACCATGAGTGTGAGCTGCGTCCATTTAAATTTCCATAACTCCGTGTGGGCTGCCTCAATTACTGGATTACAGTGCTTATCATACTCCCTGAAATAATTTGTTTAGTGTTAAAGAAGTGAACGTAATATTTTCTTCATATTCATAGGGAAAGTGTTTAGTTTTCAAAAGCAGTTACCTTATCAGGCTATACAACCTCATTCTAGTGACAAAGTCTCTGAAAGAGGATGATTTTCTAGAACTCCTGTTTAGGGGCAGTGAGGATCAAGTAGATGGTGATAATTAAAAGCCTGGAAGTGAAAATGATCGTGATAACAACATAGAAAGTCATGAATCTGAGGGAGAAATTGTGTCGGTTGCATCCACATTATGAAGCACCTCGCCACCAGGGACTCCCTCTACCACCACCCCCACACCAACAACATACCACCCTCATTCTTCTTCACCACAACCTTCCACATCCCAGGCATCTCCTTCATATTTCCTGCATTATTCAAGCCTCATAACACCTGCTACCTCCCTCCCTCACCACCCAGGTGGTCCACCACCACCCCACCACATGCCTCCCATGGTCATCAAGCACCTTCCACCTCCCACACTCCACTATCAGCTATGCTACACTGGAATCCCTCTCCCTCTCTTCTCCACACGCCCACACACTCATCCACATCTCCACACACACACCTACACTCACAATCATTCATTCTCACTCTTACATTTTACTTGGGCTCATTCACTCGCTTCCTTTCTGAAAGTCCATCTACAAGTTCCAGAAGTCTTCCACCTCGCTGAAGGATGTGAGTACAGAATGATCTTATTTATATCAGTACAGAATGAATTTATTTTATAATACATTTTATTTTATTTTATATAGCATTTTATTATTAGATATTGTGTTACTTTCTTTTACTATATGACAATTATACGCTACGGATGAACGCCCATCCACCTACAGTATATACTGTAAAGAATATAATCGTAAGATCTTATTTTATATTACAGTATATTATAATACAATTTATGTTATTATGTTATATTATGTCATAATTTGTTATTCTCATTTATTATATCATATACCCGTACTATAAGTCATGCGATTATCAGTTTGCGTGCGGCTGGCTACAACACGTCAGAAATTGCAAGGAAGGTTGTGGTCACTAGGCAGACTGGGAGGAGTCTGAGAACTTGAGTATTTTTGATGGTTTGCTGGCAGCTGATATATCAAAA